AGATGCTGAGCTTGCCTATCACAAAGGTCGGTGGTTCGAATCCCTAGCACCACGTAACGGACTAAGCTCCCGTTCCTTGTCCCAGCTTCTGCCAACCTAGCAGTTTGAAAGCAGGTAAAAAAAGGCAAGTAGGGAAAAAAGGGATCACCTTTGGTGGGAAGGTAACAGCGTTCCATGCGCCTTCAGCATTTAGTCATGCCGGCCACATGACCACGGAGACATCTTTGGACAGCGCTGGTTCTTCGGCTTTGAAACGGAGATGAGCATTGCCCCCTAGAGTTGGGAATGTCTAGCACATATGTGCGAGGGGAACCTTTACCTTAGGGAAGGTAAGTGATCAAAGCACACGTATCTAAGAGAAGGGAGCAATATTTGGAGTCTCCATTTTCTATCTCGGAATGCTTTGAAGACAAATGCTCGCAGCCCCCTCTTACACATATAACCTGTTCTAAATTACGGTCTTTCCTCATTGGGAATTAACCTGACTAATTTTGTGATCGGCATCACGTAAAATTGAATGCATTCTTGTTTTTTTATTCTATTTTTTTTCCCTTGAGGTTTGCAAGCATTGTTTGGGGAAGGCAAGAGAGTAATGATATAAATGATTAGCATGTCAGCACTTGGGTTCCATTATACACTGAGATGGGATAACAACATGGTGCTTCTCCTTCTCTTTAGGTACAAAGATTTCCTCAGCAAGCACGTGCACCTGATGTGCTATCGGATCTGCATACGAGCTCTTACAGCTATCATCACCTATCATCATCGGTATGGTGAGGGCTGGGTGGAAGTTTGTGAGATATTTTGTACAAAGAAAGAGAACAAAATTTTCTATGTACCATGATTACCTAGAAAGGCAGCATAGGCAAAATGTAGAACTGGCTAGGGATTTCATATATAAGCATTCCTTTTTTAAAATATATTTTTATTTTTAAACATTTTTGAATACAGTGTACGAATATAGGGTATGTCAGTTACACAGACAAAGACCAGATTAAAAAAAGATAATGGTAAATATTAACACATGAACTCATAACAGTAACTATAATAGGATAACACTTGTATTAAATGTAATTGTAATACTATAATTAATAGTTTAATCTTACGTATTCTTATATCTTGGCCTATTTACATTTTATAGATGATCATACTTACAGTTGAAAACCATCTCTGTTTTAATACAGACATTCATAGTCTTTTTCCCCTCATTCCTGTATAATATATAAGCATTCTAAACATTTAGCAAGTGTTCGCTTATTTGTTCATTTGCTTGTTTATTTATTTGATGTTTATCTCAATTGTATTATTCTATAAGTAACTCAAGGGGGTGAATACACTTCTCCTCCTATTTTCCCCACCATGGCAGTCTTCTGTAGTGGGTTGGGCTGAGAGAGAGTGGCCCAAAATTACCCAGCCAGCTTTTTATTACTGAATGCTATAGCTGAGATGGTAGGCTTAACATTTGTGAATGAAGTCCGTTATCCTGTCAAAAAAAAATAATAATCCCAGAAGGATGGCTGGATAGGATTGCTATTGCTTGAGGGATACATTTTCCTCATCAATAGCAAAAAAATTGAAGAAAGGTTGCTAAAAACCATGGAGAATGAAATGCAGATTATACTTCTGGTATAATTTACCTAGGCAATTGTTCATTTATGGAGCTTTTGGGGGGTGGCACAGTATTTTGGGGTTCTCAGAATAAGTTTGGAGGGTTGTGTGTGTTTGAAGCATCTACTGCCCTGGTCTGTGGGGCACGGCCTGGAGCAGAGGTGGGGGACTAGGGCCCCTTTATGACATGTGGGCTTCAACTCCCAGAATTCATGAGCTCACCTGGCTCAGGAATTTTGGGAGCTGAAGTCCACAAGTCATAAAAGGGTAATAGTTCCCCACCTCTGGCCTCTTGTCCATTAGGAGTGGGGAACGGGGAGCGAAGGATGCATGCAGATAAGCTGTCTGCCTTACTATTGAGTCAGTTGAGCATCTGCTTCAGTTTTTCATGTAATCTCTTTTTCCTTCATAATCTTAGGGAAAATAGGCCCCGCAATGGAGGAATCTGTGTGGCTAATCATACATCTCCGATTGATGTCATCATTCTGGCCAGCGATGGCTACTATGCAATGGTAAGGACATCAAGTTAGTTCATTAGTTTCCACCAATGGGTGGAAACTAATCAAGGAGAGAAGCAACTTAGAACTAAGGAGAAAATTCCTGACAGAACAGAACAATTAATCAGTGGAACAACTTGCCTCCAGAAGTTGTGAATGCTCCAACACTGGA